TCGTGCTTGTGTGTAACCCAATGTGGCCTCAGACTGCCTGCCACTCTGGCCCTCTTACACCGACATCTTTCTCTCCTACAGAACTTTTGGAAATGGAAAACAGAGGTTCAGGCCGTCTAGAATCCACGCATGGGAGCACAGCAGGATGACATCTATAAATATAAAAAAAATAATGGCATCATTTAGCTTTCAGAGGAAGGCTTATTTATCTCTGAAAAGATTATGCCAAGGGTTTTCATGCAGAGCAGAGCAATAGAGTAGATATAATGCCTTGACAGGAAATTTTTTATACACAAAATAAGATTGTAAATTTCTGGTGTAAAGCTATGGATTCCATCCACAAGACAGTAAGCTGGATGGTTCTGGTTTACATCCACTAGAGATTTTCCCTTTACAGCCATTTGGAATTGTGATGCCTAATCAGGTAAAAGAAAGTGAGGGAGAGCAGCATATCCCATGGCCACAAGGACCAGTTGGTGGATGTCAGGACACATGGCAGGAGACCCCAGACTGGCAAAGAGCCTGGCTTGCCATCCCAGGAGCTGCACCCATGACCAAGATCAGCACCTGAGAGAAATGAATGATGACTGTGTGTAGTCTGGCTGCACTGTGAGAGCTGATTTGGGCACTGCTGGTAGTTCTGGGTGGCAAAATAAAGAGCAGGATCAAGAAAAAGCCTAAATTCACTGAGCCTGAGGCTGGAGTTGGCATCCTGGTGTCTGCAGGCATGCCAGGCATGCAGAGGGTCATCAGCTCTGGGCTGGAGAATGGTCTGGGCCATGATTAACTGGTGGAGCAGATGCACCCTTGTCCCTGAAACAGTAATGACAGATATTCCACGGAGATGCATAAAGCTGGTAATAATCTTCAGGATACAGAGCTTGATTCTCATCCCACTTTCTGCACTCTGTTAGCAATAGGACACAACTTCTGGAAGCCCAGTGACTTAGAGAGTGTCCCAAGTCAGTGAAGAATCTGTCCCCACCCTACTTCTCCAAAAGAAAGGTACTGAATGTACGGCAGCAACCACTGGGTTTCTCAGGCAGAGAGGGGGAGCCTTGTCAGGAGAATATGAGAGGAATATCAGGTCAATTGTTCTAGTAAAAATTAAGCAGAAAACAAATTGACCAGTGCATACTGGAAATCCCCAGAAGCTGACTCCAAGAAGTTCATTGAAAACATCTCCTGCCCCCTTCTCTAGTGCCACTTCAATTTGCATGAAGTAGCATCTCATGCCATTGGGGTCAATGAAGCAATCCCTGTGTTTGGGATGAAAACAAAACAAACCATAAATAAAACAAGCAAACAAAAGAACCCCCAGCCCCCAAAGAAACCAGCGAAACCTCAAAACAAAACAACCAAAAAACCCCAAACAAATCAAAACCCTAAACAAAACTAAACAAAACAAAGCCTAAAAGGAAAGAAAAAAAAAAACAACAAACCCAAAGAGTGATTCTCCATGGGACAATAAAAGGGATATGAGAAGCATCATTACAGTTTTTGGGTGCAGGTTGAGTTGGGTAAAGCTCTAGGTGTTTCTGCTGAGCCACCCTGACATTGAGAGCTCTGCAGCCAGACAGTAGATATGCTCCAGCTGAGACAGTCTGGAGTCAGGGCAGGTGGATTCTCCATGATTCACTCGTGGGTAGGTAAAAGAGACAGTGAGACAAAGAGAAAAGAAGGAAACCTGCAGGGGTTAGCTAATCAGATAAAGAAAGGACATGCTCTGGTCTCCTTTCCACTATGTGTTCAGTGCTGTTATTCAAGAAGAACCTGGAACCCAAGTACAGTGGACATTTACAGTTGTTGTAAGGACACTCATAATTCTACTTTGACTCAGAGCGGATGTGTTCAGTGCTGTTATTTAAGAAGAACCTGGAACCCACAGTGAACATTTACAGTTGTTGTAAGGACACTCATAATTCTACTTTGACTCAGAGCTGAACATACACACAAGGAGCTAATAAGACACATTTGCTGTCCTGAAGAAGTTTTGGTCCAAATGCACATGTCAGGGCAAAGGTGGGAAGAGTGGGAAGAGAAATGAGGGTCAGATAAGCCTTGTGCCCACCCAGCCCATGGAGGGAGTACAGTCAGGGGAGAAGGGATTCCTGCTGCTCTCATCATGCTGGTGCACCGTTACAGCCTGCACCACTTTGATGGGAAAACTCTCTTGGTGAAGTAATATCTGGCCTCTGAACTCCTTGGAAGAAGATGATGAGTCTGGAGTCATGGAGTTTTGTCCAAGTAATTTTTGTTATGTGTTTACTGGGGAAAAATGGGTGTAGGTAAACTTGTTAACTGAGTGTTTCTACCAAGTTAAAATTATACATCTATGGACCATCATGGTCACCCATTGCTGCTGCACCCAAGCAATAAAAGTGACTTGAGGCTTACAAGGTCCCTTTAATTTGGTGATGGTTTAGCAGCCCTGAATTACACTGTGGAAAGCGAAGGACCAGAGGAAAAGTCAGACTTTGTAAAAGCTATTCTAAGTAAAGCAGATTCCCAATCAGTCCATTCTGCATGCTGGGTTAGCTCCCCAGGCCCTTGGTGTAATATTACCATCTCCTCCCACATCCTTTTTCCAGTGCAGGGCAAAAGTGAGATTTTCCCTCTTGCCCTCTGCTGCAGTTAAGCTCAGCAGAGATTAGGGACCTGCTTATGCAGGTGCAAGCCAGAGCAGTCCCAGGGAAGTGCCTTGGGTCCTGGCAGTGCTGCGATTTGCTCTGCTGTGCAAATGGGTTCCCAGTACACAGCAGGCTTCCCACTCCTTACTCGGTCGGTGGCTTGTCCTGGGCTGACCTGGATGCAGCAAATGAGAAAAATAGAGGACGAAGCCTTGCTTAATCCTGGGCTTTCTTTTAACTGCTAACCAAGCTGCCTCTGTACCAGCATGTTCCATTGAGAGGATGTGGACAAATATATCCGTGCTGAGGAGTGGCAGAGGCTGCAGTCTGCATTTAGAAATGCTGAGCAGTGTGTTTTTCTAAGCTGGCTAATTAGTATGGGCTTGAAACTAACGGCTGTGTTTAACTGACAAGGCAATATGCCCTTCACCCATCCCTTGAGATGTCAGGAGAATTATTCCTTTCAAAAAGCGTGCCTGTTAACTCGTTCCTCTCTATCCCCTTTGATCTTTTCAATATAAGCCTCTCCCTCTGCACTTCATTTCTCCCTGTGGAAGAAACCATGAAAGCAAACCATGCTGATTTGCAAACGGCTCTTCCTCCCTTGCCTGCTGGGCTGCATGGCTGTGTCTCCTGTGCCAGGGACCCTGGTCTCATGTGAGGAGCTGGGGAAAAGACAGCACTACCATCACAAAGCGTCATGACTGGTGCAATCCCAAAAAGATGCTCTTAGAGGAACTGAACTGCTGCAGATGCCTCTGTCCTTCCCCAGGGCAGTGAGGAGATCAGGAAGAGACAATGATTCAGCAAGTCACAACTTTCCTCCCAGGTTGTTCCACTGGGCTCTGGATAAAACTAAAAATCAATGACCTGGCCTTTAAATGGGAAGGAGGATAGAGTTTTCTGACAAACCTCATTATGATCCAAGTACCGTGCAACCCTAATGTAATATACACCCATATATCACCTATGTGATTTTTTTCCCATGCCAGGAACCTTGTTATTACTTGATGAAACAAGGTCAGAGTCTAAAGTAGGAAATTACAAAAGGAAATAGTGGGAAAGAAAAAAAAGGAATATAGTAATAAATAAACATTGATGTTTAGGGCCAAATCTCAAGCTCAGTTTGAAGGGTTCTGTATAACAGTAGGAAATGTATGTGGATATCTGCAGTTGCATACACTGTTGGGTATATCCAAGAACTGAGAAGTTAATTGCCACACTGGCAAATGCTGCACTTCTCAGTGTTGGTACAAGTAGTGAATGTGGACTCGCACAGGAGTCAGAGGAAGTTTTCAGTGTTTAGGTTGCCCTTGAGATACAAGAGGCATAATTTTGCAAGATAAATGTTTATCTTTTGCATTTCCAGAAATATGCTTGAAGAGACTCTCTTCCCTCCCACAAGGGTTTGTTTGGCACTTGAAGAAACTCGCTAGCTTTGCATTTCCAAATACAGATGCATCTAGTTTGGCTTGCACATTCAGGGAATGGGCTAACAGCAGCTGTATTCCAGTAGTGCTGAGCACTTCTCCACATTATATACAGTTACTGCAAGGTGCAGATCTTTAGGTCTTCACAAGGTCAAGTCACTCAGACTTAAAATACTGCAGCGTGGAATTACAGTCCTATTTTAAGCCACCAACATTTTTGTTAATTTTTGTTTCAAGGCAGCAATTGTCTGCAGTATCATACCAAATTAAAAATAATTTTTTTTTTAAAAAGAGGCAGAAAATATGTAAGGGAGTTAAAGAGGTTTGGCTGTGATTAACATTGCTAAACATTGTGCAGCAAAAGGAGATGGCTTCAGGGACAAATGACCCTTGTGACAGACTTCCCAAGTCACAGGATGTCAATTGGTTTTTTGAAGGCACCTACTATGTATTGCAAAGGACTGACGTGAAAAAGTGCATGCTGTCCCTAGACTAAATAAGTGTTGCTCTGTTTCCAACTTAGAAAAGACAGAAAGAAAGACTGAAAGGAAGGGAGAGAGAAAGCATGTCACAGATGAAAGCACACTCTCAAAGGTCAGGGCAAAGTGTCCTTACTTCAGCAAATACTCTGGCGTAACTTCATAATGAAATAATCCTGCTATCTGATACTGCCTGAGAAATAAACAGTGTTTTTATAAAGTTCTTGCCCGTTTCACAGCACTTCCCTGGGACACTGTAATAAAGTAGGTTGCAGCAAGTATCCTGCATGCCATGCCTCCAAATGTACCAGTTAATTACTGAGCCCTTTAAACCTACTAACAAGACAGGCCTTGTTCTTTCAACCTATTGCTTTTTTGCCAAAAAGAAAAAAAAAAAAAAGAAAAAAAAAGTCATTGGGCAAATAAATCTTTCCAGAGAAAACAGATTTTTTTCCAAATCAGTCGACTGTGCTGAACTGGAAAGGAAGAAATGTTATTTTTTCCAGGATGAAAGCAAAACAAGATCTCTCCCTGTTTATCCTGTCTCACCCTTTTCTAAAGAAGGTCAGTTTAATTTTTTCATTACTTTTTCCTGCTGTCTTATTTATCTTGAAGTCCTCTAGTTTTTTTCAATTTCACTGTCAAAGCCCAGCCTAGTTGCTCCAACAGAGGAGTGCACTGTGCTTTGCTCTTCACAGCCATGTGAAGATCCTGAATAGAGCTGGGTGAAATGTAACCATCCAGACATTCTCCTTTCTTATTGCTTTCTCTATACTCCTGAAAAAAACCATAAATCTCAAGCATTTATTGTTGACTTAGTTTCGTTTTAGCATCTTATTCATTACAGATGCTCCAAAGCCTATGAAAACAATCACAAATTCAGTCTGCCCCAGCCCTATGTGTCGTGCTATGATGAAATACAAATCTTTGTACCATAAGCATCTTTTAATACTGGTGCCTGGAACTTAGTTTGGAAGAAAGGAATGTCAATACAAATACAAAACAATATATGAAGCCAGAGAAAAGAGCTTTGCTACCCTTAAAACCAGTAGTGTTTGATCTTTAACTCAGAAGGTGCCTAGGGCAACTCTTGGGAGGGGGAGGTTGACTACATTTCAGCTCCAGTCAGCAGAGGCCATCATGTTTGCCTGTGCCAGCCCAGCTATAATAAGTGGTGTTTTGCATGCTGCAGAGTCAAATGCAGAACTGATGTACATATATTTGAATAGCCATGGTCTGTAAGAGAGGGTCATTAGATCAGTTGGTTTGATCTCCTAGATGACACCTTAAGGAAAGAAAAATGCATCCTGCTGAATTCTCCTCTAAGTGTTCTCATTGTGCTGGGTTGGTTACACCAGTTTATCCTCTTCTGCAGTCACGTACACTCCACTGGCTTTGGAGCCTCTGCAAAACAGCCTGAAGGGAGGTATATGCCAGCTGCCATATGCAAGTCTTGGAGTGAAAGGCTCTGACACAGGATCAGGTGCCCAAGCCTTATCTACAGCCTCTTCTGTAGTGTTACCTCACTGCTGCCTCAGGTGCTGCACAGGCAGACTCCACACCAGGAGCAGGGGGCTGGGAAGCGATGACTCAGGCACCGTACCCTGACCAGGTGCCTGCGCCCCAAATGCGCCTGGGCAGGTCTAGAGGCAAACCAGGTTCATGCAGTGCACACACTGAAGAAGCTGGGAGAGCCACCACAGCTGAAGGCTCTTTGTGAAACTCTGCAGTGATATCTTGAACCCATAGGCGAATTCAGTTCTCAGCTTGGTGTCTACACAGCTCTGGCCACATGAAATGTGCTACTTTTAAAACCAGAAAACTACAGGATGTGATATATGGCAGTGTCTGCAGGATTCCATGGCTCTGCTAGCAAAATGAGCAGCAACTTCACATCTTTTTTTTTACAATTCTTGTTCAAGTGCCAACATTAGGTTCAGCAGTCCTTTCCAAACAAACCAGTGCTCCTTTAAGGCACTCTTTGTTCTCTAGTCAAATTTTATCCAGTCCACGAGCTGCCATGGGATTTATTTCACCATGTTGTTCTTCATTTGCCCAGACACTAGAAGATTAGTTATGCATTTTGCTCTTTTCTGATTTTGGTGGCACAGGATGCAGACCTTCCTACACACACGGTTTCATCAGAAATGTTTTCCATCTTTCAGTGTTTGCTCCTTTTAGAGGTGATGCAGGGCTTTCTGAAGTTACCTGGGTGCTCCTGTTGGAGTGAGAACATTTCAGGATGTGATCTCCTGCTTATTTCCAAGGGAAATGTCATCCCAGGAAGCACAAATATTCTTTCTTGAAGTGCTGCATTTCCCCGTCAAAGAGAGGGGCATCTGTTTCTACACACCTCTGGCACATAGGTTTCTATTAAAAGTAATTGTCTTGGTGGTACTTTCTCTAAACTGGATTCTGCAATGAGATAATAATACCAAAATTATCTGCAATGATCCCATAATACCAAAGCCATTTAGAAAATGCTACCTAACTCATCTTAGCTCAGGCACCCACTGCTGGGACATATAGACTGTTGTTAAATGTCAACTGATGCGTTCTGCTGACTATCATGGGAATGTATCCACACTCCATCATTAGTGTTTTCAGTTCTCTGTCCCCCTCAGACCTCTGGGGGCTGTCATTTTGAATCATTGTTAATATTAAAGAAAGTATATCCACAAAAGCAAATGGAGTGACTGTGAAAATTGTCACACTCCCCCTGAAGTCAACAGGAGTTACCTGAGTGGGAGCAGATGGCACCTGCTTTTTCTTTATAACCAGTGTTTATTCATTCCCTCTAGGTGCCCCTAAAAGCTCTACACTGCCAACCTTTCTCTAGATAGATCTAGCCCAGCCTGCACGAAAGCAGTATTTGCCAGCTGGGCTTCCAAGAAATTACACTGCACAAATAATTACTCTAGAGGAGAGCAGCCTTGGCAGCAGCTGCCTAAGTACTGGAGAAATGCAAGTAGTCAAAGGGCAAGGCTTTGGAGAGCACTGCCGCAAACTATCTGGTGAAGTGTGCTGGAGAGACATTCAGCAAATGTGACTGAGGCCTCTGAATCTCTGCCAGCTGTCAGGTTTGGAATTACAGCCATAGCAATTAGCCGTGATTACTTCCCGATGTTGTTAAGTACAGTGCAAAGATCACCACTTGTAGCAGTTTCTTTTTGTGATATTTAAGTGCGGTGCCAAAGACAAATATCAGATCTCAGGTCTGAAGACCAGGGATGCGTTGGCAGGTGTGCTCAGGGAAGAGAGAGGAGGATCAATATTTACTGTTTATGCTTAACAGGTGTCCCTCTAGACATGCACTGACAATATCTGTTAAAACATTATTGAACAGATAAATAAAGATAATAACCCTAAGTGGTGCTGTAGAGGTTATGAAGTCATCCCATGACTGCAGTAGTCCAGCCAGTTGCCCTGTAGTTTGACCATAAGCTATTCTCTTATCAAAAGCATGAAGAAAAGATCTGTTTTGTTGCACAACCAAAAGCATTAAATATTAATAAATTATTGGGCTTTTCCTAGAACTTCTGTCCACCTTTGGAAGGGCACTGGTTTAGGGCACTGCTAAGATCTCATAGACGAAATTGATGAGCAAGTGTCAGAACTGAAGATCTGTATGAGCACCCTTCATATCAGACAATCAAAAAAATGTTTCCAGCTGAGGTGCTTTGGATATCATATCCAAAACTGGGAGAAAGCGCCTCTCTCGGCAGCTTGGGATACTAATTGCTAATTACAACATCAGTAGTAACTTATGCAATGTTGTTATTTGAAGCAGGGATAAACAAAATATTCTAAGCTCTCTACACCTTAATTTTGTGTTTCAGGTTTACAATCTCAGTGAGTATAGGATGAGAGCTATTTAATCTGAAGGGACTGTGCAACACCATAAACACTTTTTCCTCTTCATTTAAATACTCCCATACTTCTACCTCATATCCTCAAGGCTCTTCTGGAGACTTGGAAGTGAAGATAGGGTGTGTGTGGAGAGATGAATCAGTTCAGCAGATCATGTTGGAAGACTTGCTTATCCCTATTGACATCAAAACCGGTTGAAATGTCAAAGTGCTCACCTAGAGATGCCATGACTTCAGTCATGCCTAGTTTGCAAAGTCTGAAGTTGAAGTGTTTGAGCCCCAGCTATTGTGGTCTGTAAAAACAGTCAATGCACACAGAATTACTATTTTTAAGACACAGCCAAATAATGTACCGTCAGTAAAAATCCAAAGTTTTCTTGAGTACCTTGGCTGCTGGACACCTGCTATGCAAGAGGTGTGATATAGAGCTGTTCAGTGATCACAGGAGGCAAAAATGTTGTTTACCTTCCCCAACAGAACAGACGTGACTTACAATCAGACTTTGGCTAAATGACTAGGAAAGAGCATTTTTGCCAGATCAAATGAATGCCCATGGAAACCAACCGTGGCAGACATTAATTTAGTTAAACATTTGAACTAATCCTCTCTGAAATTATTTTGGTACTTTTTATTCAGCTTTAATAGTTTCATGAACACACAACAGTTTAAACAGAGCCTTAGAACCTATGTCAAGCCCATACAGTTCATTTGATACAATTTAATTTGACCACTTGAGAGGCATAAACATTCTTAGCATGTAAATTAAAGGTGTCTCTGGAAGGCATTCAGCTTTTTACTAAATGTTGTTAAGAAGTAGACAGAAGCCAAACAGAGGACTGTTGTACAGAGTCAGTAATCTGATATTCTGCTATCATAACCATTAAGTTTTTTTCACAGTAAAAACACCTTAGACTTGAGATTCCAGGATGAGGTGATTTTTTAGATATGAAAGAGTAGATGCTTTGTTCTTCCATAACTGGCAGACGAAAAGCCTCGCTGAAGTTTGCGAAAGTTCCACTTATGCAAGATTTGAAGTTATACTGCTCCCTTACAGGACACAACCTTGTAAGTTATTGTCCCAATGTTACTAAAAATGTGTGGTAGTGTAAGGTTAGCAAGTACAGAGCAAACTGTTTGATTTTTCTGTATCTTCTCTGGGGACAGGAGAAATCTGTGGATAAAAAAATACAGAAGATATTGTCTTAACTCAACTAGGAACATTTTAACTCTACACCAAGGTGAAGCCTCAAATTTTCATTAAGTTAAATTGAACAAAAAGGCTTCAAAGACTTGTCTGCAGCTGCATTGTTCAGGAAATAAAGATAATCCTATGACTTCCCAGCAAAGTTTGTTCTAATGAAAGTGTGGGCATGCACAGCTCGGGAAAAAACCTTGTGCACACACTAGGAGGTAGAGAACAGGTTCAGGTTCCTGATTTCCTCTTGGTCTTTCCCTGCTAACCAATGTAGCTGGAGAGATACATCTGCTTCTGAAAATCCCAAGAGCCTGCAGAGGTGCCAAAAAGGACTGACACATACAAGGCATAAAGGCCACTGTGGGCCAGCCTCACAGAGAGTTCTGGATCTCCTGATGAGAAGCAGCTTGGAGAGTGAAAAAAATGCAGCTTGTACATTTGGCCTCTGGTAGGTTTGGGTACAGAAGTGAGACACATGCATGGGGTGCTTCAGCCTAAGG